ACTGGGTAGAATAAAGCATGGTTTCTGATAGAATGGTAAGAAAGCTTTCAAAGCAAGGATATTGAGTGACTCTGATACATTTTTTCAAAACAAGTAAACCTATTCTTCTGCATTTAACTTGACAGTTAAACAGTGAGAGATCAAAACAGGATATAAGCTTTAAAGCAGTATATCAACTAATTACCCATTTAATTAATGACATAAGGAAGATAATAATAAATGTGAAATAATGAACCCATAACTTCCAAAACTACCAAAGAAACAAAAACATACTTTACAAGACTGCCCATTGTCTAAGCCAGACTGTATTCAGAACAAAACAAACATCCATGAAAAATACCCATCACAATTATAAAAAATAAACAAATGGCACAAAGAAATAGTTGATTGAAATGTGATGTTTAACAAGGAAATGAGAAAAATGAAAAAAATAAAGAGTAAAGTATATTTAAATAACAATAAATGCTTCATACCTGTAACTGAGCATGCTACAGTTAAATTCTATGTGATTATGTAAAGAAAACTAGCTAATGTGTGGATTTAAATATGTCTCCAAAGATTTCTGTTTAAGATAATGGCTCTTTCTTCTTTAGAAAAGATATATATGTATATATATTTGCATGTATGTTCATTCTTTAGGTATGTACAGGGCCCATGGAGGCTAGGAATGGATGTTAATCCCCATCAATTGGAGTTACAGATGGTTGTGAGCTGCTATATGGGTGTTACAAGAGCACAAAGTGCTCTTAACCACTGAAACACTTCTCTAGCACTGTTTCCTTAAAAATAAACCATTTAATACTGTTTTTGCAATAACATGTCACTATGAAGAACTTATAAATACTTGCATTAGCACATTCTGTCAAAATGTAGCAAACATTTTTGTGACTAAATGGGTTAAACGTTTAGAAATTTTTATGAAGTTATACATGGTGTTTGCTGATGATGATTTCCAGAAGTTTCACCTGATCCACTGAGCTTTTCCTCTCCATAGTTGAGGCAATCAGCAGCTAGCATATGGTACATAAGACAGAAAACGGAAGAGAGCTCAACTTCACAGGCAAGGCAGCTGGTAGATTTGACAGTTCTTTTCCAAATTACTCATCATGTTTTGAATTACTGCTAGGAAAAAAATGTGTTGCCCATCTCCAAAATAGATGTTCATTTTTATTTTTGTGCTGGAGAAAGACTTCCAATAAGAAAACAAACCAGATGGTTTCAGGAAAAGAGGTAGGTTCCCCACTGAGACAGTTTTCTCTTTGTCAGGTCTCGTGTCAGAAGAAATTTCCAAGTAAACAAATTAATACTTCACTGGTCATAGGATAGCTTTGGCCTCCCATGCATTTTTGCTTTTGCATATAAACAATGCCTTTTGAACAGAGTCAAAGTAAAGGAGGAAGACATGGTGAGTTCATTATCAAAGTGACGTTGATCTGGGTTTTAGTGCCAACTCAGAATAGAGCAAGCACACAGATAGACAGGATCTTTCTGAGATAACAGTAACATTACAGACGAGTAATTTCAATATGGAGAATGTGTTCCTAAAATGTATATGAAACTGATGGCTTTCAAATTACTTTCTACAGCAGAAATCCAATGGATTTTATATAGAATCTCAAACTACAATTAGTGCGTGTAATTCAACCTGTGACCTGTGTGGTGTAGTAAGCTTCTCTCTCTTGAACTCAATTGAATCTTCTAAGTTAGCACAAAATCTCATTATGAATTTTCAGTAGTTTCCAAGTTTGGCTTTTTGTACAGGACCCCATGCTTCATCTGAAGTAACAAAGTAACTGTAGTCTGGATGCTTCATTACTTCAGAATCTTACCTTGATTCATGCTTTTCTTTCAAAATGCAAGTATCCAGGAATACTTTTCTAGGCTACATATTTGCTGGAAAATATATTCTCCTATTTACATTAGAATTGGGAGCAATTTTCTCACCTCCTTACACTTTTCTTTTAGAATATTTTTTATCTTCAAAGTTGAAAATACATGTGTTTGACTCCACTAAAAAACTGAATAATAATGAGTTTTCAATGATGTGTTTAATTCGTTGTTTCAATTGGTGTGTTCTTCTAGCCTCATTATAGAAGTTTTAATGTCTTTATTTAATGAATTAAAGTCATTTTAAGAGCTAATGCAGGGGCACAGCAGTAATCTCATTGTCAGCCTTTTCTTGACTGACCCAATAAAAACTTATCTAACTTGCAATTTCCCAAGTTCACAGCAGTTGTCACGTTTGAAGTATAGTTTTTCGCACTTTTGAGCACTGTCACAAGTCATTCAAGACAGATTTATGAAATGACAGACTTTCTAGGATAAAGTATAATGTGTCAAAAAGCTATTCTTTATTTCTACTCCAATGGGAATTTAAGAAATTGTTTCAAACAAGGATAAATTTGGAAAGAACTTTTGAAACTCACTGCAGGTGACAGCTACATCTCAGAGCACCGATCACGCCATGTTGTTTTAACCAGTACTCTAATACATTTTGTAAATGTGTTAGGCATTATTAACAGTGTCATGTAATCTAAGAACTTGCTAAACAAGTCGAAAGTTCATAGTGTATGAGCATATGATTTCTAGCTACCAAAATCTGTATGTTGAAGCTGTTTACTTTCTGCTCACTTGAAATGTGCTTGTTATTGTGACAAAACCTGAAAGGTACTTTCTGCAGTTTTCCATTGATCAGTGCTCTCATCAAATCACACATTTTAACATTGACAATGACAACCATAGCTTTGCTCTCTAAAAAAATTGTAAAGTTGTTAGTACCTAATTATGGACTTCCAAAAGGTTATAATTTTGTTTTTCCAATGTTTTTTCTTAGCATTTATAATCTTTAAATTTATTATATGTAATTTATGCATACATATATTTACTGATACTTTTACAAGTTTAAATAATGTATATAGTTTTGATACATGAATAGGTCTGTCTACCTAGCTCAGAGTTGCTGAGACAGGAAATCTAATGAAATAGTCATTTACTGGAGTCTATGGAACAATCATTTTGTACACTGTCAATATTTATTGCTCTCATTGGTTTAATAAAGGGTTTACTGGAAAATAGCTAGGCACATAGAGGTTAGGTGGGACTTCTCAACAAAAAGAGAGTGTGGGATAGAAATAAAAGAGGAGGAGTTGCCAAGAGACTTGGAGAGAAATGAGATGATCATGTTGTGCTGAAAAAAAGGTTCTAAGACATAGCACACCACAGATAAGAAACATGGGTTAGTATAAGTTGTAAAAGCTAGCTAGTAACAAGCCTAAGCTATTGGATGAGCATTTGTAATTAATATTAAGTCTTTATGTCTATTTGGGGAGTAGGTTGGTGATACAGAGCTCTGGCTGCACAGAGAGCCTGCATCTACAACCAGGGTGTCAGTTCTAGAATAATAAGAAGAGACCATCAGTTCTAGAATGGTGTTAGAGCACATTGTCAGATCTAGAATGGAAAGAGAATAGATTCTCAGATCTAGAATGGGGTTAGAACAGAGCATTACTTCTAAAATGACCAGGTAACACAGTACCAGCTGTAGAACAGTTGTGTTGTAGAAAAGCAGCTCTTAGTTTACACCATTATATTCTTTCTCATTTTTTTCTTTTTTCGAATCCTCCTTATTTGTAATATAGTTATTACTAAAATGAATTATTGAATATTCAAGCAAGGAGAATTAAAATGATTACTATCCTCAGTTTTCAAACATCAATTCTGAAAAGTATGATTGGGTAAATTATTATGCTTTAAGAAAAAAATCACAATTTATATTTACATTAATTAAGTCTTAAGTATATTTCAAGATGTCACTATGCTAATCAATGAGTGTAGTAGAAACTAGGCCCACAAGATGATAGACACTAGAGGTTGACAGAAACATTTTATGTATTGTCCAATGATGCACTTAACCTCAGGTTATTTATGTAGATATCCTGCACTTAGTCAACACAGAGGACTAAGAATATTATTATATGAATACAAAAAAGAGTGCTTGTAAAATGCATATGAGAACCAAAGTTTTGTTAACTACATTTGTTATTGACATAGAACAGATTATATGATAAGAGTCTCTGTGTGTTTTAACCAAGGAGCGAAAATATGAGTTTGGAACAATTCAAGTCAAATGGTAACAATATCAGGTCAGTATATTAAGGAGGGTTTTGAAGCTAGATAGACAATTTATGAAATATGAATAAGTTATTAAAACACTTTGGGTATAGTTTTTTTAAGATGTACTGGAACCATTATTTTGTTCAGTCATTTATTCATTCATATATTCATCTCACACAATTTCCTTTATCAAAACATACACATAGGTAAGTTATTAATTTAATGAAATTTAGAAAGATTTCATTATTAAAATTTTCACAAATAATTAGCACTTAAATTTCTACAAGCGCATGCCATTCATTTTTGCCAAGCCAAAGCAATAATGAGATATTCAGCCACAAACACTTAAGTTTTCATGCCAAAGAACAGATATCTCCCAATTCTCCCATCTAAATGTTAAGAATCTACTAAAACGAAATATAGCAGATTCCTATTACATTTTGTCTATAGAGAAATGCAGATAAGCAGGCACAGGAAAATCTACCTAAAAAAACTAGGAGTCTTACTGGCCTAAAATGAAGCAGGTAAATAAGAAATAAACATCTTAATTTAATGCATAGACTTCTCTCTTGAGTAATATCAAACAAAGCCTATTATTGTGTACACAGAACAGAAAATGAAGTATTACACCATCATCCTTAGGAAAAGTTAGGGTTTACAACATTAACACTATCCTATTTTGTTTGAAAATTGACACCATCTCCTTGCTGTGTTGAGAAAGTAATTACTAAAATGGTTTACCAAAGCAAGTGTTTTAGCAGAGAGTTCCTTGAGAAGCATTTTAACATGGGTGAATAAATATATTTAATTCTGTCAAATGCTACTATGCATGAACTATGAAGCACTGTGCAAAGCCATGCCAAATGGATAGAAGGATGGCTACTTACCAACAGGGCGAACTGTAGACATTACAATGGTGTGGTGAGAACATAAAAAAGAAATGTAAAAAAAGAAAGAAAAGAAAATTATCAGAATGCATGATGTGTAATGTTACATTTACGTATGGACAGTAGAATGATTTCTGTTCTCATAATTCAATTATGAACAGGGTATCTAAGTCTGATACAACTGAAAGATATAGACATAATTCCATGGAAAAGTTATTTTTAACCATAGGACTGAGATCTTGAAGGGATAGCTTAGGTTTAGTTTTATCATGAGCACTTACTTCACTTATTATTTAAGTTAAATATGCTATCAAGTTAAAGAGCTGAATGTTACTCCAGATTCAAGAACAGACTGGTAAACCATGCAAGCCAATATTAGTCAACATCATGTCTGAAAAGTAAGGCCTCACTACCTGAACTAAATAGCAATTGGATTTCAAGTATGGCTTGTCAGAGCTATTTCAAGGAATATAGACATGCTCCTGATACAACTTTTCATCAAGCAATAATTTAGGCCCACTTTGCTTTCTGCCACAGAGACCGGTTATTTGTTACATGCAATAAATAGGTTGAAACATGCCTGCAGATCTCAACTCTAAAGCTCCTTAACCTCTGCTGAAACTATGCCTTCTTCTGGGATAGGTGATGAAAAAGAGACTTACATGTTGATTCATTCTCTTACCGAGCATAGATAGCTTCAAACTGATACTTCAGCAAATATATCATTTTTTATGATACCATGACTTTCATTTACTAAGATATATAGTACTAGGCTGACATTCTCTTAATGACTGAATTTTAAGATACATACATAAGATTAATATTTTCTTTAAAACTAATTTCAAACAAATATGGATGAACAAACATTTCATATAAAAATAATAAACATGCATTAGAAAATATGAACTTTCTTTATCCAGAAGAAGAAATCTATTTAGAAGAGCTAAATATATAAAACTGTACAATTAAAACACAAATTTCATTCCAGTAGGTTATTCAGCCATATCCCAGAATAAATAACCCTAGTAATAGCTCATTTCCTAGAATAAGGCATGAATAGATCTTCATAGTGTTGATTCCTTAGGTTTGATAAGATAGATACAACATGTGGAAGATGATTTATACTTATGCATTTAATCAACCCGTCCATTATAATGCTGGATTATGTAATCCCTAAAAATAATAGGATATTTAGATACATCTGAAAGGTAGTTGTCTTTTATGACTGTATTATTTATAATTAGAATAATAAAAACTATGATGATTATATTAATAATAGGAAAATAACAGGTTACTGTAATAAATATTTTATGGTATGTTTAGTGTAGAAAAGCATTGAGAAGTTGCCTAATGACTCATTTTTTCCTTTTTATAAAGGGATGGAATGAAAGGCCCAAGATTAATAGGGAAGTAAAGACATAAGATTAACATCATATACTCTTCCTTTATTTTCACTAATAATTTCTCTCAGTTCTGTCAGTTTCTAATAGAAAAAATCAATTTTGAAATTTGTGCTAATTTGACTACAACATAAAGATTCATTTTCACATATACTCCCCCAAGAAATATTAAATATTCTAAGGAAAATAAAAGAAACTATACTGAGGGATCATGTTTAAATAGATAATACATTTGCCATTCACTTTATACTAATTTCAAATTTTTTTACTATCCGGCCATGGAACACAATACTTCCAATAAAATCCTTTTTATACAAAGTGAATTAAGGAACATGGAAATGAAGAAAAGTGCTTGTATAAATGAGACTGCTGTTTAGATATCTCTTTTAAGAACCATTTTACAAATTACTTACTATGTTTTTTGATTTGACTATTACAGATTCAAGTTCTTCTACTAATTATTTTTATTTTTAATTTTGCTTGCCAAGGCAGATAATGAATCTACATGATTGCAAGCTTCCTTTGATAACCTTTTTTGTTGCCATGTTTTTTAATTAAAAAATAAACAAACAAAAAAATACACCAGAGACTTTGCTTTCAAGTATTGATTATAAAACTCCTTAAAGTATCCCCATTGAGATAGCATTCATATAATTATACAATTTCTGTATAAATATTACAATATAACTGCATGTTTCATAGCAACATTTCATTCTGAAAGTCAGCAGGTGGATGTTTTCAAAATCAGGAAATTAAACTCAATTCTGTTCAAGAATTAAATGGACTAAAATAGACATGGCCTCTTGGGTCAGTTGACCTTGTTCTAATAAAATAACCAAGAGAAAGGCTGAGCATTTCATTTATGTGCATAATGAAGTATACACAGAAAATAAAAGCCATAAATTTACCCCCATTAACCTTGCAATGCGAACTATCACAACTGCATATCTTAATGGTAAAACATGTTTTCAATAATAATTTACTGCACATTACATTGTTCTACTGAGGTTTAGTAACATTTAACCCTTATTGTAAAGTTGCAATTTTAGATAAATGAGAAATTTGTAACATGGGGGGCATAAGCACTCCAATTCATCTACACACTACAAATCAGATAATAAACCATTTAAGGTTTGCTGATCTTTAAATATATATTTAATAATATACGTATTATTAAAAACAATGTTTGTACCAGGTTTGTAGGTTTGCTTCCAATAAAATGCTAAACCTGAAACTTTCAACAAATTATGAAAACAATTCACTGAGAAAGGTCTCAATGCAAACAGAACACTCCAAGTCTCCTTGGCCCAATTACTCAAGAGTAAAAACAAATCTATTTTCTCTACAAACAAACAGCTCCTCGCATGTTCTTAACATTTGTTTAGTCAGCAAATAGTTTTTGAATGGAATACTTTGGGAGTTTGGTTATAAATTTTTGCCTCATTCATTTCAATCCCCCCAACATACCTTAGAGATAATTTGATTTAGCTAACTGATTTTTCATAGTGGCTTAGCTGTATAAGAATAAATCCTCTGCATATATGCTATGTTGTTACCTTGGTGTACTGGGGGGACTCCTGACAGTGGGAGTGGGGGGTGCCTCTGACTCCTTTGGCTGCTCTTGGGAGCCTTTTCCTCCTACTGCATTGCTTACACCAGACTTGATGTGGGGTTTTGTGCCTGGTTTGTATCATGTTGTACCTTGTTTGGTTGATATCCCTGGGAGGCCTGCTCTATTCTGGGAGACGTTAGGGAGGAAGTGAATCTAGGGAAAAGGGGAGGTGTTTGGGAGATGGGAACAGGGAAGAAAAAAAATAAATGAATCTAAAATAATCCTTGGAGTATATAGGTGAGAAGACACAGTTTTGTTAGCATGAGTTGCTATATTTTTATCATATAAAATCAATAAATATATTTGGTTCATAAATAATGAAGAATGACACTGCTGATAAGCAAATGCCATCAGCCCTCTCTTGATTGTTTTGATCTATGTTTATACTAAAATGAACATAAGAGAAAACCAGATAAAAGATCCAGCTGAAGATCTCTGACTTATTTCCTTCAACTTCAAATTCCTCCAAACCCTTTTCCTAATTTATAAAAACGTGGGAAAGCAAAGCTGTGCAAGGTTAAAAGGTGAGGTGCAACTGGGCTGGGCAGAATGTTCATGCTATTTAAGAAATACGTTTTGACTAGATGAATCACTTGAAGTCAGATTACCCAAGGTCTGAGTGAAGGTACATAAAGATTTGCCAATATCAAAGACTCCCAAAGATAAAGATCTTTAGCTTATTGTGACTTTGTCTGTCAGTGTGTGCTAACTAAAATTGGAAAGAGCATTGTACTTCAGGAGATTCAGAAAGAGGAGTCCCATAAAAAGGTAACCCACCCCTATTGCTTTGTGGTAGACCATGCCCAGGACTAATTTTAGAGGGATTTTCTTGCTATAAAGAAGAACAAATACCAGGCACAGTCAAATGTACTACTAGAAAAGAATCAGAACTAGAAGAATCCTGAAGACTGGATTATACCAGGTGCAGCCTCCCCAATTTGGGCTCATTCTCATTCATCATTAGCCCATAATGCATATAATTCTATAAATATTTTTACCTAAATGACAAGGCTGCAGCATTGCCCTCTGTTAAAAGAAAGTAAGTGCTTGCTCTGATTCCCCTGTCAATCAGCAGTAGGACCCTAGACAATTCCCTGTTCTATGTGTTCTGTCAGTTAAATGCACAGTCAGCACCAGGTAAAGGTTTATATGTTGCCAGTTAATAGATCCTCATAACACATCTTTAGAGACAAATGTGATATTTTTTAAAATCTTGTTAAAAAATTGAAAACAGAGATCATAGATAGCTTGATATTTAAAAATGCCATGATCTACAACCAAATGTGACTACAGAAAAAGAAATAGCAATAATTGTTGATCCTAGCAAAATGAAAGTTACTCTCATGTGAAAACGTACAGAGATCCTTAACCCTGCTATGCAGGGAGATGAAGCTCATAGAGTCTCCTGAGGAGCCACTGGTGTCAATATCACCTGCAGAAGAGTGAATATAGGAGCATCAAACTGAGAAGGAAGTGCTTAAAATTTCCCCAGCAACCATGAGTCTGAAGTGAATATAAGCTGAGAAGATGTAGCTTGAAAATGGGCACATGCAAATGTTATTTGTACTTAGATCCTTTGTATTCCCAAATTCAAACTGACATGGGAAGAGAATAAGTCAGTCTCCCAACAGCAATTTAGCAGCCATCCCCAAATAAGAAGGAGAATCAGTTCTGTCCCAATTCTAAAGCCGCTGTTAGCATTTCTATCTGGTTGTGTGTCCATCGTCTGTGAGCAAGGGTGCACATTCATTGCTTTTCAGAAGTGCTGGACCATTTAGCAGACTGAACTGGCTACTGTCTGAATTAGTTTATCATTTTACTAAATGAGATTAAACTGAGCTCTAGCTCAGAGCTGGTCAACACATTTGGAAATAAAATTCTTTTATGTATTCTGTAAAAAGAAAAGAAAGAAAGAAGACGGAAGGAAGGAAAGACAGAAAAAATAATCAATTTAAGTGATCATTTCAAATCAATTAATGAATTGAAAGGCAAAAACACCTGAGTGTTTATTATACTAAAACACCATAATATTTTCCTTTACTCTGAAGCAGTCTTACTATATACACCAGCCTAGCTTCCCATTTGTGATCCCTCTGTGGCTGCTTCTTGTGTGTTAGGGTAACAGGTATGGACTACCATGCCCAGAAGCTCCTACTAAATTTTGAGCAGGCAGGAACTTACCAATTGAACAAAATATTAGGCTTCTGTTTCAATTTTCTTTGATGCTTTAAGTCTCTTACCTCGGACAGTGAGGGTAGCTGAAGCTTCCACTTTCCCCACCCGGTTCTCAGCAATACACGTATAGGTACCTTCATCTGTACTCATGGCCCTTTTAATTCTCAGGGTATAGTCATCTTTGATATCGTACCTGTGTAGAATAAGAACCTGCATTATTAAATAACATCCTTCATATAGCTATTGCATATAGATAGTAATCCTAATTTATCTCTTTTTATATTGCATTTTAAACACACAAACACAAATTATACTCATTTAGACTAAAATTACTAAAAATGTTCATTGATTTTATAACTGATCACTAGTTGCTTGTCACTTACCCATTCATTTTACATTGTGCAATTGTTTATATACTTGGAAACTATCAAAAACAGACTTTCTAATTTTTCCTATCCTTGGTGATTGTCCACTAATAAGGGAAATAATATATATATATTTGCTTTGGATAACTTGTGTTTTCTTATTTTGTAAGTTAATCACACTGTATTTAATATGATTAATTTTAGGCATTATAAATACAAGAACTTAAAATGTTTTTAATACTTGCCTTCAGATTTAAGAAATTGACAAAATCAATATTGACTAACAGAAGAAATAAGAGAAGTGTTTTTGTTTGTTTTTTTTCCAACCCACTATATAAACACCTGAAATGGACTTGGAAGCAATTTTTTGGAAATATATAGCTCAAGCTCTATCTTAATGATTCACTTGTGAAATTCAGAAAATAGCAGATTCTTTCAAAATATACAACATGCAACATTAACATATTTTGCCAGAGTGGGGGGTAGATAGCAATTGGACTATATTCCTATAAAATTCCAAGTTTGAATTTAGACAAACAAGAAACTAATGTAATGCCATCAGATTTCTACTCTTAAGACCTTTCTTCTCAATTTTCACTAATGTTTTTTATACATCATTTTTCTTGTAGCTCAGGATACCTAAGTTATTTTTTCTCATGTTTCACATGTTTCTAAAAAATTGGTTTAGTTGATTCTACATGTTGGATATTTGTTGTGACAATCTGTTTTTTTTCTTTACCAATTGATACATATTTCTATCCTTGATCTCTCTCTCTCTTTCTCTTTGTTTTTGTTTGTTTGATTGATTCCTTTTTCACAGGCTTTCTTGTAGCCAACACTCTCAAACTCACTATGTCTTTGAGAGTTACTGGACCCCCGATCATTCTGCTTGAGCTTCTTAACTGTCAAATGACCCCCACACCCTGTTGGCTCAAAAGACACTACAATTAGTTATGTTCTATGTCGAATATGAGTTTTAAAGCCAACAACAACAAAAACAAATAAAAATAAAAACAAAAAAATCTCATCTCTACTAGTGACAGTTTTACTTTATATACAGAAGCATGATAAAAAGGAATGTCTGTCTAGCAGTCATGCTAGTGGCTTAGATCTTGCAAGCTTCTTTCTTTTTAGTCATGGAACTGACTTCTTGATAACATATTTACCTTGAATTTCTGTCTATTTACCATGAGTTAAGACTTAAGAAAGCCTATTCATTTTTTTGAAAACTTCCATAACTGCACCAAAAAGAAATATAACTACTCCCATCTTGAAATTCAGACATATGTTAATGATAGAAATACTTAGGGTTTTAGAGTTTTCATTAGTGTCTTTTTCCAAGATGGGGGACTTCTTGTCTGTTTCACCAAATGCTCTCATCATACTTAGTCGCAGAACTTCTAAAATGTATGCAAATCACTTAAAGCACAACTTAAGGAATGCACTGGTCAACTTTTAACAACAGTGTCAATCTGTATTTCTAATGATGGACAAAGTATTCAAATTCTTTGGGTATGAATTAGTCCATTAACAAAATTGTTCTAATAACAATGTCTGTTCCAACAGAATGAGTGCCAACTATAGGTGTAAGACATGTAAAAACAGCATAACCAAGGAAATAATAATTCATGATAGCTATTTATTATACATACAAGGAACTCAAGATATGTACAGTTAATGCCTTGTTTCCTATTAATGTGAATACTATGTAAGTGTGAATGGTTTCAAGGCTGGTAGTTTCCCATGTTTATCTATAAAATGGCTTATATTTGCAGCTTATTCTAAGCTAAAAAAACTGAAAAAGAATAGCAATATAGAGGAAGACTTGCTGATTAGATTACTGTATAACAATATTAAAAATTAATGTGTAAAAACAGATAACTATAATCTCAAAAGTATCCTGCTACACCAATGAGCAGAACCAAACACCTAAGATAATTGCAGGAAAAATTAGTTACGCTTTCTGTTCAGCATTTACTTTATGTAGGCAACAATATGAAGGGTTTATTTGAACTCAAAATTTCAGTTTGCAGTCCCTTGCCATCACAGGAAGGCAGTCACAGAGGCAGCAGGACAGAGAACTCATCACTTACACCCTTAGTCAGAAGAGATCGAGAGCAGTCAATGTATGCATGCCCGTGGTAAGTTCGCCAGTTCTTTGCATTCATGCCAAGTGTGGAGATTGGACGGTTCTACCCAATTTAGTTATTGTAAAATCAAACAATCCCCACTAACAGGTCCACAGGCCTACCGGATGAAGACAGTCCTTCATTGAGACTCTCTTCCAACACGATCCTCGATTGTGTAGGTGACAATAAAACCTAACTGTCATACTTCCATTTAAGTGCTTTGTGGTGTAAATGTGTTTCCACATGTGACAACATGACGATAAACAACCTATAGAGAATGGCTATTTCCTGCTGCAATTTAAAATACAAAGCTGATTATAGCTGATTATGCTGTTGTCTGAGTATAAAAAAGAAACTGAGTCACGACAACTATAGTTCTTTCTTATACTAGAGAGAGCCCCTCTTTCTGTTTGATATCTTTGATGTTTCTTACACATATGTATCAGGTAATGTATGTTGATTACTCTGTGAGAGTTTCAGAATCCCTCAAAACTAACAGTATCCATACTTTTTAACAATCATAAATATAGGGACTATATTTATCAATATACACATAAGTTATTACATTTCTCTTATCAGAGATACTTCAATTTGTAACTGTGGTTACTTGGTCTAGAATATACTATAAATGAGTAGAGTATTCTTCGATAAAAAGACTGATAGGCATAGTGAAATTTTATACACATGTGATATATCATAGCACTGCCTATTTCAATTAAAAACAGAAAAGGAAAAGGATGAAAAATACTTCCGATGAGGCTGTTTTACTACAAATGAGATTATTTTCATTGTGAAAACTGCCTGGCTTGGGCTTCTGTGAAGGAAGCCATGGTTGGCAGGTTTGATTAATGACAGTTGTGCTATCCTGGGCTGTCAGGTGCTACCATAGATGTACCTTATTTCTTTTGATATGAACCACTGCTGAAAAATACAACCCCATCAGATTTGGCCCCTGGACAACATGTGCTATCATCACTGCACCGTGAATTCAGATTGATTGGTGACCAGCTGTGACAATGCAGGCACAGAAGCTCTGTCTTACTGCATTGTTTTTACCCCAAAGGGAAGGGGAATAAAAAAAGGGAAAGGAAATTTAATTGTGTCAAAACCATAGCCATCTGTTCAACTAAACAATAAACAAAACAAAGTGAATTTACTTTAATAGTTGAAACAACAGTTTGCGTAGAAGATACTGTCCATGTGTTTTGATATTTGATGACTAATACTAAAAATGTCTCAAAAGAGAAATATTAATACTGATTACTTTAGGAAACAAAATATTCCATTCTAAATATCATTTCCCATTTTACATAAGGTAATTTATTTTATTTCTTTATGTAGACCTACTATCATAGATTGCAAACCTGGTATCATACAGTATAGGAAAAAAATTTCTATAAATTAAAATCTCAGGCAATACTTGAAAATTTTGTAGCATTACCAATTTTCTCAGTTCTTATTGTGTGATGCACATTGGACCTGTGTCATAGAAAGTTAGCAGTTTTCTAACTCTTCTGATTATTACAATAGGTGCTCCGTCTTTGACAGTAGGTATAGATTTGGAGAGGACCAATAAAAGAAATATAAAGCAAATTTTGGAGATAATCTGGAGTTTTCCAATGTTGAAAGTCTATGTCTCTTCTCACCTTGTTTGGTTTGTGTAAGAATCACTTCCATAAAGCTTCCTGAGTGACAATTCTCATCAAAATACCGGTTTTAATTGAAGAAAACTTATTTCTTCAACCTATTTCCCTTTTAAAAAAATCACTCACAACTTAGTAAAATATTTCTGGCTGAACTTCCAGGGCAAGTATTTGTATTAACACTCAAAATTTTAGTATGCATCTGAATTACTAAAAGTTAAAATAGCCAGTCATAAAACTATACATTACTATAGTTATGTATATTATGCATATTACGAATTATGAATCACTATGAACTATGAATTATTATGAGCCAGGAATTATTCAATCTCTATGAAAGTAAATATTAATTTTAAAGTCTGATGTTTTCAATTATGTGTAAGTTTCTGTTTCCATAAGTGGGTATGTATATGTGATTATCATGTCCAAGGAGACCAGAGGCATCTGATCCTCATGGAGTTGGAGTTAAAGGCTATTGTAAGCCACCCAAGTTGGATGTTGAAAACCAAACTCTGGTTCTCTGCAACAACATTATGTGACTATCTCCAGACCTTTTATTTTCTTTCTTTTTTAAATTAAGAAAATTTGAAAGTTTTCTCATATATATATATGTATATATATACATACACACACATATACATACATACATACATATATTTCCCGTGAATCCAAAGAGCTAAAATAGCTTTATGTATGTATTTTGGAGTGTTTAAGAAAAGACCTCAATAATAGGTCTCTCACATCCAGTGATATCTCACTATGGACCTTTATATAGTTTTAAACTATCCAATGGCCTAATGGTCTACTGCCATGCTTTCAACACAAGGATATTTTTATTATATAAGTATCTTATTAATCTTATGAACCCAATAATTGATTTGTAGGACAAAATAAGAAACATGTCTTTGAACAGTGTATATGCCATAGGAAAGGAAAACAACCATTAAAAATAGGTGACATGGCTGGAGAAATAGACTGGGAAAATACTTCTCTAGTACATCCAAAGACTAGAGTTTGGTCTCCCATCAACATTGCCCTTTTTTTCTTCTAAGAAAA